TTTTTTCTCATTTTATTTGTCTCATAAAAATATCACTCAATTACAGTCTGGAGGCTGAGAAGTCCAATGTCAAGAGGCTATATGCCTGCATCCTATCATGGCAGAGGTCATTACATGGTGAGAGAGCAAGCGATGGAACTCATAGCCTGAAATTCTTTTAAAATTTGGGTTAACTTACTCTTAAGGACAGAAACCTTGAGAATTAGGTTTCCAACAAATTCTTTGGGAGGACATAATAAGGTCAGATTGTATTTCAAATTCTGTGGGTTTTTTCAATTTCCAATATTGTGGGTTTTTTTCTATTCCAATCTGTTATTTAGCCCATATGTAGATTTCTATTGTAGTTGTTCTATTTTATAGCTATAGAAATAAATTTATGTTTTTTTAAACTTTCATTATTTATTGTTCTTTATATTTATCTCATCATTTAAATACTAAAAGGTATTTAGTTTAGCTGTCTTTTCTGCTATTTACAACATCTCAATACATTTCTTTCTAGGGATTTTTTTTCCCCTTGAGTATGAGTTAATTTTTCTTTGTTACATGTACTGATTCTGAATTTTATCCTGACTATTATAAATAATGAAATGTAGAAATTATGGACACTATTAAATTCTTAGGGGAATGATTTCTGTCTCATAAGGCAGTTACTTGGTTCAATTGAAATCCCAAACTTTAATTTTTACAGTGATTATTAACTATTTCTTTTTTTTTAATTTCCTTATTTGAGAGGTAGTTACAGACAGTGGAGACGGAGTGACAGAGGGAAAGGTCTTCATCCCGTTGGTTCACTCCCCAAATGGCCACAACAACTGGACATGCACCAGTCTGAAGCCAGGAGCCAGGCACCTCTTCCTGGTTTCCGATGTGGGTGTAGGGGGCCAAGGACTTGGGCTATCATCCAGTGATTTCCCAGGCCACAGCAAAGAGCTGGACTGGAAGAGGAGCAACCAGACTAGAACCGGTGCCCATATGAAATGCAGGCAGAAGATTAACCTATTGCACCACGGCACCGGCCCCAGTAACTATTTCTTTCACCTTCCAATAGTCCAATGCTTTTTATTGGTTCCTCTGAAATTTCCCATATGATTGCAGCATAGGCGTCAGTAATTTTGGTCCATTTTGCATGCAATTTTAGGAGCTTTCTCTTCTACAGTACTTAAATTTCTGTTCCCAGTATTTTTTATTGTCTTCTCAGCCCTGGATTTTTCCCTGTTACATCCTGAGTCAATGAAAAGGCAACTTTTACTTCCTTGATCTGTACATGTGCAGGAGTGTGTCTTCTGGTAATATCTCCCAAATGTGTGAGTTTCCCCTTTATATGTCCCCACAGTCCAGTTCCTCCCTTTTAGTTTGATTCCTCCTCTCTTCCCCAGGTAGTTGTGCTACAAATTTCTTCTAATTTCAGTTTCTTTTTCTGTTAAGGGTTAATCTGGCTAAATATGTTGTTATCACTATGATACTCTAGTTATTTATATTTAAAAGCATGTCCTGTACATTTAATATTCTTCATTATTCATAGTTTGATTTTTTCTGTCCCAGGAGTCACTGCTTCAGGTGTATTTTTTACTGTGCAAGTGAAATATTTCTTGCCTAGGGATGATTTTACAAAGCAGAAATAGGGAAATAGTCCTATGTGCCAGATTTAGCTCACTTTCTATTTTGGTGTGGCCTTTGAGTTCATTTGTTGTAACTTTTTCAAGGTTGCTTTGTTGCTCAGAAATCTTCATACTTACAATTTCTGTTTATTACCAAAAAAAGGACCCACTGCAATGAGCCAAGGGATGAGCTTCCAGTTGTGGAACCTTATTGTCATTGCCTGCTACTCCCAACAACAGTGGGTGATAATACCCATGGGACATTGACAACCAATCTTATATGAGGCCTATGTTCAGAGTCCATATTGAGGTTTCATAACAGAGATGTTTGTACACCCATATGGCTTTTGTTAGTCCACCAACACATCCAGAGATAGAACTGATACCACATGGCCCAAAACCTGTCACCAGAATTACATTGTAGAAGCAAAGCGTCCATGTGGCCAAAAACCTGAAGGTCAATTAAGTCATCCTCCAGGTGACACACTCTAAATGTTGGAAGAAAACCTACCAGGAGCAGAGCCAAGAGCCAATCCTTTTTTTTTTTTTTTTTTTTTTTTTTTTTTTTTTTTTTTTTTTTTTTACAGGCAGAGTGGACAGTGAGAGAGACAGAGAGAAAGGTCTTCCTTTGCCATTGGTTCACCCTCCAATGGCCACTGCGGCCAGCACACCATGCTGATCCGAAGGCAGGAGCCAGGTGCTTTTCCTGGTCTCCCATGGAGTGCAGGGCCCAAGCACTTGGGCCATCCTCCACTGCACTCCCTGGCCACAGCAGAGAGCTGGCCTGGAAGAGGGGCAACCGGGACAGAATCTGGCGCCCCGACCAGGACTAGAACCCGGTGTGCCGGCACTACAAGGTGGAGGATTAGCCTAGTGAGCCACGGCGCCAGCAATGGATATGGTATTAACAACATTTAGTTGCTGTGTTTTTTAAAAATCATGATCTAGTACCACTCTGTTTCTTCTTATCTGGATAGATCATCCTTAGTGCCTGTGGTATCCTATCAGGAATCCCATCAATGATGGGATAGGCTATTCCCAACTCTTCATTAATCAATTCATTTGTTGATGCCTCAAATTGAGCAGCTTCTTGGACAGGAGGCACACCATGAACTACAGCAGCACCTAGTTGAAGACACTGGGTGGCTGCCCCACCCTTTCACTCCCAACTGCCAAGGGCCACAACTTTGTCACATGCAGGCACCTACAGATGCCCACAGCACTGAGGCTAGCCTTCCAACCACTTCCCAGTGTGCCCCTGGCCAGCCGCATGGTGGCCCCACTAGCCTGTCACTGTGATCTCTTAACACAGTCAGAATTCCATTGTTCCTTTCTTGTGGGGAAGGTTAGTTCTAGGTATATAAGAAAAACTTTTATAGTATATTTGCAATTACAACATTAACACAGATGGAATATATTTCCATTGTGTTTTTCTTACTGTCAGCATACAGAGCACAAAATAGGCTTCATCTTACATTAGAGACACGTAAAACACACTGAGAGAATGGATTCCCCTATTTACCTGTTTTGTGACCCAGAGCTGAAATGCTGAAGACAAATGCTCTGTAAAGATATTGGTGTCATAAGACCAGACTGTTATGTCCACCCAATGTGAGTAACAGCATCTGGACAATGCTCAGAGGACCCTGCACAGGGATGTGATGCTGGAGATCTACAGCAGCCTGCCATGCTGGGGTGAGTGACACTCCCCAGTCACACCCAAATCTACCTATTTCATCTCATTTGATAAGCAAGTAGCTACCTTATAAGGGGTAATTCTGTTTAGGTATAGGATTTGAGTCCATGAAGGATGTGAGTATCCACATTCTCCAGCAAAGGATTTAAACTGGCCCTTCTGTTGCACAACTCCTGAACCCAAGCCATTGTCTTTCAAAGAACTTGACTTAATGATGACAAATTCCTTCTTCCTTCCTTCCCCTCTTCCCCTCTCTCTCTCACCCCTCCCCCTTTTCTTGCTTTCCTTGAAAGGAACAGTTAGAGAGCTCTCCCATCTGCTGGTTCACTCTCCAAATGACCACAACAGCTGGGTGTGGGCCAGACTGAATCCAGGCACCTGGGACTCCATCTGGGTCTCCCTGACATGGGTAGCAGGGTCCCAAATATTGGAGCCAACTTCTGTTTTCCCAGGTGCATTAGCAGAGAGCTGGATTGGAAGTGGAGCAGCCAGGACCCACTGCACACAGAGATTTAACCTGCTGGGCCACAATGCCAGCATGAAGTACAACGAGACTAGATTGTGTTCGAAGAACTGCCTGCTGCAGTTGTTTCTCCTCAACCCTTTCCTAATTATAATCAGTCCCTCTCTTGTGAGATCTCCAGGGCACTCCCACCCCCCAAATGACCATATAAATACTCTCAGCTTTTCCAAACCTCCAGACTGAGTGTAGGCGGGGAGTGTTTTTGTGTTTGCCCACATATATAAATACCCTCTTTTCAGTTGAGTTTCTGAAGAGGATAAATGTTTCCCCTCCTCCCTCGGTGCACTTGTCTGTCTCCCAGCACTCCCCACAGTGCGGCAGAAATTGTAATATTCAAAGAGACCAGAACTGCCTGGCTCTGGACTGCTACACAGGAAACAGGGGACTAGGAATACAGCGTGGGACTGAAAGAGCCCTTAGGAGGCATGAGGTGGAGTAGAGAGCTGGAATTCCAACCAGGGAAGAGACGCAATTCAGGGGTAGGCTAGGAAGAGAAAGAGGGGTGAGGGGTAAGTTGTTAAAGTATTTGCAAAGTCAAAAACCCAAGGGGCTTAGCAAGATGGGGAGGAACAAGTACATAAGGGCTAAGTTGGAAAGAGGTGAGGGACCAAGTCTGCAAGTGATTACGGGGTAAGTTTAGGGGACCCAGAGGGTGACCTTCAAACAGTGGCCTGAGCCCCAGATTAAAGTAGGGGTAGCAGGGAAGTGTAGGGGGCGGGGCATCCCGGGTAGAGACTGAACTGGCTCCCAGAATCTGCAGCGAGTGGAGAGAGAAAGGGGGCAGAAGGCAAGGGGTTCAGCAGCGGGGGAAGCCCTGGAAAGATGCCGGGGTGGCTAAGGGTTGGGACGGGGATGGTGGGGGAGGGGGGCTCCTGGAGAGCACACGAGTCGTGCAGCCGGAGCCTATGTCCACGGGACGGACCTGTATCGGCCATCCGGGTCGCGGGCGGGAACCCCGGAACCGTGGCCGCATAGCCACTTCTCCTGCACCGGGGGACCTTGGGGCGGGCTCCACCGCGCCTCCCTGAGGGACTGGAAGGAGGAGGGCTGCCGGGAGAAACGACCCGTTGACTGACAGCAGGTATCGCCCAGGAGCCTGCAACCTGAGCCGCCGGCTGTCCCGCGCAGGTGCCGAGCAGCACCGTCCTGGGAACTTGGAAGAGAGAAGTGACGCAAGCGCGCCGGGTTTGCCGGCCTCTCCGCGCAGGCGCAGCAGAACTGGCGAAAAGCGCGCGGCGGCGGTCCAGTGGCCGCAGGAGCCTGGCGTTAAGGATTCTTTTCCCTCCTAACAGGTTCCTGCGTTAGCAGCCGTGAGGTGGTCTCCAAGTTGGAGCCAGGAATAAAGCTGTGATGGTGGAAGAAGCCCTCAGCCTGAGCCTCTCAGGTCCGTCAGCGCCTTCTGAGTGGGAGGCTGGGACTAGGAGGAGTCAGCGGGTGTGCTGCGCGCTTCTCCCGGTTCCTCCTGCGCTCCCGGTCTTGAGGAGAGTTGGTTCAGGCATCTGCAGTCTCCATGGTAGGCTCTCCTGTGTGCATCCATCCTCCTTGTGTTCTGTTGTCACTGACTGTGCCAGTGTTTTATTTTTTGTCTGCACTTTGTTGAAACGGGTTACTCCCGTTAGTCCTGGAATCCTGGTCCGAGTCTGACCTCTATTTCCTTCTCTGACCCTGTTGGATACCCTTGTACATAAAGACAGTCGTGTGTGGTGCTATAATAGTTTTACTTGGATTTTAGTCGTTTATTGTCATTATCCCCCTTCATGTTGATCCTCAGTTTCATTCAAAGTTGCTGTGAAATTCTGTTTCCCAACCACAAGGTCCTCTCTGACTTCTGATTGGATTTGCTTTTAGCTTAGATCTCAGCAGATCCCCAGTCAGGACGGACACTTCACCCAGGTCTTCCCAGGTGACCAGGCTACATGCTGATGGGTGCTCTAGCTGTAGTCACGCCTTTCTTGTTGTGCATGCTGAGGACAGTCCTGCAAATCACCCTCCCACCTCCACTGCTGCCCTTTGGGAAAAGCACGTTAGCCCTAGTCATGGCCTTTGAGGATCCCCCAAATGCAGTCATGAGATACATACCTGCAATACAAGAATAAACAGATTTAAAGGGAAATAAATGCTTATTTGTGTTTTGTAAAAAATTAAACAAAGGTGAGGTAGCTATTCTTCCCTCAGAATTGACTTAAAGATAATTTTTTTAGAGACTGAGAAAAATCAGTTGTTTTAAGAGATTTAATTAAGTGTATTTAAAAGCTATACTTTTTTGTATATTTCTGTCAACTCACATATATAAAGTGAAAACTAGTGTAAGGGAGCTGGCAGATCGTAGTAGGAGACATAGTCACCTCTCTCCATGGGTTTATAGATGGAGTACAGCAAGGAAACAGGGGTAAGAAACAGAAAAGAAGAAAACAAAAGTAGGACCTGAACATGGAAGCTTTAGTTATTCAAACTGGATGCCCCAAATATTGATGCTCATTTTTTAATTTTTCACCAAGCTGGGAAGATATGATCCCAAAGCACTGGTCCTGTCCTGCAACTGCTTTGTATCAGACAAGCGTCTTGCAGAGTATCTCTGCTCCCCAGAGTATCTTTCAGGCAGTTGGGAGGAGACCCAGGCTCCGAGAGGGATCAGGAGTGGGTTGAACGGGGGAGGTATATATTTGGACAGAGCTGAAGCCAGGCTTACTTGGGAAGGTAGTGACTTCAGGGCCTTCTTCCTGAGCCTGCGTGTCTCAAAAATGAGGTCAAGGGGTAGAGGGAAGGAGTGACTGGGAATGATGGGACTCACTGTGAGTGCAGCATGGATTATGGATGAGGCTGCACACATTCTGTCCACACTGTGCGTCTGATCTGTCTCCTGAGGTGGAGCAGTTTCAGTACCTGGTCACCTGGTTCAGGAACCACCAATGGCAGTGGGCAGGACCTCATTTGCTTTTGCTTTCTGAGATGTGTGCAGCTGCTCCTGTGACTGGACTAGGGTTCTGATTTCTCTGCCTTTCTTGACCACCACTCATACAGTGTTCATCAAGATCCTTGCATATCCCCTGGTCTCCAGATGAGACATGGGGATCATTTTCCTGTTGAAGAAATTCTGTATTTATCAGTGAGTAGCATAGTTCTCTCTTTTACCAGGGTTGCAGATATACTGTTAGTGTCCAGGAGATCCAAACATGCTCAAGCTGCTTACGTGTGAACTTGGCTTACACACTATACATTTCTTGACACTGCAAGCTAAGCAAGCCTGCCAGGCGTTGGGTGGACAGAAGCAAGTGGGTTGTGAATCTTGCATGGCCTGTCCCAGAGGAATCAGCAGAATGCAAAAGTGAGACAGGAATGAGTAGAGCAAATTGGGGTCAAGGAGAGATCCTGTACGGTATGGCTGGGTGCAAAGATAGCAGGATCTTGCTGGGCAGAAAGATCTCACAATGTGCCATCATCCCTAGCCCCTGGTTCCCTACCTGCAAGTAGCCACCGCTGCACCGTCGTTTCTTTGTCTTTTTCCACTCTACCTTCTATATATCTTTTTCCTCTTTGGTTTGGCTTTAGCTTTTTCCAATTTTTCTAATTTCTTAAGGTAGAAGGGTAGTTTACTGATATCAGATATTGTTTTTAAAATATCCCCCATTCACTGGTTTACTCCCTAGATGCCCACAACAGCCAGAGCCAGACCAGGGTGAGGCCTAGATCCTGAAACTCCATTCCTGTCTCTCTCATGCACGGAAGAGACTCAGGTACGTGATCCATCACTTGTGTGCACATTTTCAGGAAGCTGGAATATTGGGCAGAACCAAGGCTCAAATCCAGGACATGGACATTTAAAGGGGCATTTTAACCACTAGGCCAAATGTGCGCCCCTAATTTTCTCTTGTGATCCTTCATAATCAGAAAATACCTCCTGTGAGTTCAGTCCTTTTAACATTTATTTAGTCTGTTTTATGACTTAGTGAATCTTATATGCATTTTGGCTTTTCAGAGTTCAGATATAAACAAGATAATATATTTGCCTTTCTGTGCCTGACTTGTGTCACATAATATAATATGCTCTATTCATGTATCTTGTCATGTGACAGAATTTTCTTCTTTTTCAATCTGAGTAGAATACATTTTAAGTCCATTCATGTGTTGGTGAACATGTTCATGGTTTTTATGTCTTATGTACTCTACATGGGAGTACAGCTATATCTTAAATATAATGGTTTCATGTTCAAATATATACTTAGTTTTGGAATTAATAAATCCAATGCAAGTTCTATGTTATGTTTTTAGAGGAAACTTCATACTACTTTCTAAGCTGTCTGATTTAATTTACATTTCCAGAGACTATTGTACTTATGAACACTTACTATTTTGCATCTTTTTGATAGTAGCTATTCCATCAGGTGAAAAGTGATACATTATTTTTGTTTTATTTGTGTCTCATCATTAATAATATCAAAGATGTTTTCATATGTTGACCATTTATATATCTTCTACTGAGAAATGTCTATTTGGTTTCTTTTCTTATTTTAATAAAGATATTTGAGTTATTTTGAGTACTTAGATTCCCTTATACATATTTGTTGTTAGCCTCTTACTTTCTAATGTGTGGCTTTTCTCTTCACTTTGTCATTTATCTTGCAGTATAAATAGTTTTTAATTTCCTATAATCCCAGTAATCTGTATTTCTTTTAATGCCTGGCTTTTGGAATCACATCCAATAATTCATTTTCTGGACTGATGTCTTGGGACTTTTTCCTGTTCTGTTAGTACTTTTCTAGTTTTAGATTTTATATTTGAGCATGAAATCTATTTTTTAGTGATTGCATATAAATATTTAGATGTAGCCAATTTATTTTGCATGTGGATGGCACTTTTTTTCAGCAGGATTTGTTGAAGAGACTACTATTACTACATTTTATGTTTACTACATTTATGTACCTTATTTGAAAATCAGTTAATTGTCAATTTTTAGATTTATGTCTGGGCTTTCTGTCCTAGTCCATCAGTCAATGTTTCTGTTTTTGTGGCAGTACCATGCTGTAGCTTTGTAATACATCTAGCTTTGGTGTTTTTGCTAAAGATTGTTTTGGTGATTCTTAATCTTTCCTGTTTATACAAATTTTAATATTTTTTTCTGTTTCTGTGAAGAATGACATTAAAATTTTGATTGGGATTGCATTAAATATCTACATTGTTTTGTGTGGGTAGGAAGGACATTTTAACAGTATTATTTTTCTGATCTATGAACATGGACTAGCTTTCCATTGTTTCTGCTGTCTTCAATTTCCTTTATTCATATGTCACACTTTTGAGTATACAGATCGTTCTCCTTATTGGTTAATTCAATCATAAGTAGTTTATTTTATGATGTTTAAATGAGGGCATTATTTTAACTTTATTTATTTATTTATTTGAAAGGCAGAGTTACAGAGAGGCAGAGGCAGAGAGAGAGAAGTCTTCCATCCACTGGTTCACTCCCAAAATGGCTGTGGTGGCCAGAGCTGGGCTGATCTGAAGCCAGGAGCCAGGAGCTCCTTCTAGGTATCTCAAGTGGGTGCAGGGACCCAGGGTCCTGTGCCATCTTCTACTGCTTTCCCAGTCCATAGCAGAGAGCTGGATTGGAAGTTGAGCATCCGGGACTGGAACTATTGCCCATGTGGGATGCTGGCACTGCAGTCAGCAGCTTTCCCCCTATACCACAGTGTGGCCCCCCACAATGTATTATTAATTACTTCTTTAATCTCTGTCATTTCCTTTTCTTGCTGATTTTCTTATTTAGTGTTTTTCCTAATTTGTTGAGCTATAACATTAGATAATTAAATTGTTTATTTGATATCTTCTTTTTTGTTCTGGTGGTATTGTACTACATTTTGCTACATCCTATTAGCTTTGTATGCTGTTTCCTTATTTTCTTCAAGGTATTTTTAGCTTCCCTCTTTAGTTTTTCTTTGATCCTGTAGTTATTTAGGGTTGTATATGGCTTAGTTCCTACATATTTGTATATTCTCTAATTCACCTATTATTAATTTCTATTTTCAGACCACTAGGGTGTGAAATTATACTTGATATGATTTTAATCTTAAATTTGTTGACATTATTTTTGTGGCTTAATGTATGACCACATATATTCTATGTGTACTTTGGATGACTTTTGATTTTATTGTATTGTTCTTGGACAAAATATGTTTTTTTTGTTTGTTCTTTTTCTAGATTTTATTTATCCCAAAAGTTACCTTTAGCAAGGTCAGAAGTACTTGTCCTTGGGAGCTTCCAGTTTTGTCATGAGGTCTTTGACTCTAATAAATCTTGCTTTTAAATCTCAAAAAATTATTTTGTATTTATTTATTTGGGAGGCAGAGCTACAGAAAGGGAGAGACAGAGAGAAAAGTCTTCCATCTGCTGGTCCACTCCCCAAATGACTGCGATGGCTGGAGCTGAGACAATCTGCAGCCCAGAACCAGGAGCTTCTACCAGGTCACCCTCACGGATTCAGGGGCCCAAGCACTTGGGCCATCCTCCACTGCTTTCCCAGGCCATAGCAGAGAGTTGAATCAGAAGAGGAGCAGCCAGGACTAGAACTGGCACCCACATGGGATGCCTGCACCATAGGCAGAGTCTCAGCTCACACCATAGCACCAGCCCCCAGAATGTTTTGTATATGTCTGGTAGGACCATTTGTTCCTAATGCATAATTCAGTCCCAATGTTTTCTTGTTGATTTTCAATCTAGATGATCTATTGTAGAAAATGGGGATTTGAAATCCCTGCCTTTATTGTGTAATAGTCTGTTTTCCTTTAAATTTCTTATATGTATTCCTGTGTGTTAGAGACAGAGAGATAGTCTGAGTTTAGGTGTGTGTATAATTTTATATCCACTTGATGAACTGATACTTTTATCACTATGCAGTGACCTTTGTCTCTTTGTTACAGCTTTGGCCTAAAGTCTGATTTAGGTGATCTGACTTATAGTTACCTCTGATTATTGTTGCTTTTCATTTACATTGATTATCTCTTTCCATCCCTTCACTTCCAATCTATAAATGCCCTTTAAAGTAAATGAGCCTCTTATAGCCTCTATATAGTCATATCGTTATCTTTTTTTATTCTCCATCCATTGTTTGCCTGTTATTTAGAGAATTCATTTACATTCAAAATAATTATTAAGAGGTGAGGATTTATTACTATTTTATTAGTACTATTGTTTTATAAATTCATCTTTTTTTCATCTCTAACCAATATCCTTTGTGACTTGATGATTTTCTATAGTGACATACTTTGAATCTTTTAAAAAATCTTTTTGTTATCTTTATTTCAAAAAGTTAATGAAATTAGAATTAAAATATAAGTTTATTTTGGTGAAAAATATTTTGAAATTACACATTTTCCTGAACTTTTAAGAGATCCCTCATGATATAGTTGTTTGCCTAGTGGTTTTCCTAATTCTTCTATTTAAAAAAATAAAAATAAAAAACTCTAGGTTGAGAGCCTTAATCTGATATCATTCACAGACTATCCTTTTACTCCCCCTCCTCCTACATTTTATGTTGGAATGTCACATTTTCACCTTATACTTTGTATCATTTAGGAAATGTTGCAGCTATAGTTATTTTTCATTTATTTATTTATTTTATTTAAGAAGTAGAGATACAGATGGACAGAGGTAGAGAAAGAAAGAAAGGTCTTCTGTGCACTGGTTCTCTCCCCAAATAGCCACAACAGCTGGAGCTGGGGTGATCTGAAGCCAGGAGCCAGGAGCCAGGAGCCAGGAGCTTCGTCCAGGTATCTCATGCAGGTGCAGGGGCCCAAGCACCTCAGCCATTTTCTACTGCCTTCCCAGGCCATAGCAGAGAGCTGAATCAGAAGCAGATTAGCCAAGACATGATCCTGAGACAAGAACTGGTGCTGACCTGGGATGCCAGTGCCACAAGTAGAGGCTTAGCCCAGTATGCCATAGCTTCAGCCCCTATAGAGTATCTTTTAACCTTTTACTAGTGATATAATTTATCAGTCCTCCATAATTAGAATATTAGTGGTTTGAATCTGATACTGTATGCACACTGGCTGATGAGCTTTGTATTTTCACATGATTTCTTTTTTTATTTATTTTTATTTTGACAAGTAGAGTTATAGACAGTGAGAGAGAGAGACAAAGGTCTTCTTTCTGTTGTTCACTCTCCAAATGGCCACTATGGCTGGCACTGCACTGGCCTGAAGCCAGGAGCCAGGTGCCTCCTCCTGGTCTCATGTGGATGCAGGGCCCAAGCACTTGGGCCATCCTCCACTGCCTTCCCGGGCCACAGCAGAGAGCTGGACTGGAAGAGGAGCAACCAAGACTAGAACCCAACACCCATATGAGATGCCGGCACTGCAGGCAGAGGATTAACTAAGTGAGCCACAATGCCAGCCCCTCACATGATTTCTTTATACTAGTTAGTATCCTCTTCCTTCCCCTTGAAGAATTTCCTTTAGCAGTTTTTCCAGTGAATGGTGATAAACACCTTTATCTTTTTTTTTTTTAATAAAGTTTCTTTATGTTCCATTTTTGAAATACAGGATCACTGAAAATAATACATTGATTCACATTTTTTTGTTTACTTCTTTCAGGACTTTGAATAAACCATACCACTCCCTCTGGACTGCAAAATTTCTGCTGAAAAATATATTGACAGTCTTATTACAGTTCCATTGTACATAGTGAGTTGTCTTTCCAACACTACTCTCCAAAGTCTGTTTATGTCTTTAAGTGAAGAGCCAATTTTTCAAGCCATTTTTCAAATGTAAAAATGTGCATTTCCTTCCCTGACCCTCTGTCCTCCACCCTTCTTTCTTTACTCTTAACCCAAAATGAACCCATTTCCTTTCTTCAAAAGTTTTAGAGCAGGAATCTTGCATCTCCTGCGCTCATGCCACAGCCCTGTGCTCCTGCCCCAGGCCCTGACTTGCTCTGACACACACAGCAGCAGGCAGGGATGGTGCTGTGCCTCTTGTCCACTGCATATGCTGAAAGTTACTCCCTGTCTGAAATTCTCCTAGGTAAGGTACCCTGCACTGGTTTCTTCATGCTGGATTCATCCCAAGGGTTAGGGAGGTGGGGGTGATATTGAGGCCTGAATTTCTGAGGGATCCCTCCTTCTTCAGGGCAGTCTCTTCCTAAGGAGACATGTCTGGGGCAGGGTGGGGAGGCAGGAAGCACAATAGGAAAGGGGTAGATGGAATGTTTGAGAAAGGTGTTGAAAGTACACCTGCAGTTTGGGGAAGTTCCATACGGATATACTTGCTGGCCAAGGATGGTAACTGCCCTTTGGAGAGCTCAGATACAGTGCATGCGACAGAGCTAGGATATCCTTGGTGACCCTGGTATTCTAGCATTCATGCTATCCAGTCACTCCCTGGCATTGAATATGGGGATTGGCATACCAGTGTCATGCCCCTAGAGGGCAGAATCTCATTGTTTAGCAGCCTTCTCTCCAAAATCTACACATTCCTCTCCAGGGTGAGTCTTTGTCACAGTCTTCCTTGTGTCAAGGTCCCCCTCTTCTCCTGGCATTCCCCTTTCATTCTCCCCCCTCTTGGTGAAAAGTGACTTTCACTTGTGTCCTTCCCATGACTATAATTAAGATGGTTATTGTGCAAAGGCTAAGTCAGTTGTGTAGACATGTGGATGGCACCTGCCCCTTTCTTAATGAATAGAGCTCCCCTCCACATGCCAAGGCTGCTGTGACAGTGTTGGTATGTGTTAAACAGAACCCTCCAGCTTGCATCCCCTGTTCCCAGCCCTTACACCATTGTCACCATTTTGTGTTTTTACATTTCCATCAGAACCTTGAACTTTTGTTTTCATTTTGAAAGGGAAATGAGTTTATTGAGAAGGCTGAGAACACAAGTATCACATAACAATTTAGCTCAGTTTCTCCTATACTTTCAGGTGCAATGGAGAAGTCATTTGGGACATAGACTCCTAGGAGTACTTTCTCATCTGGCCTTGTACTAGGCATACACTTTGTCATCTCTTTCCCTTACATGTCTGTTCCTCCTTAATCTGTCCTCAAAACCTATGGCAACTTCATTATGGTGCATGATGTGTTAGAGTAAATGTCCCTTTGTCTATAGCACAGTCTGTAGCACAGGAATGCCCCTGGCCAGAATGTCCTCACTGTAGGCATATTACAGCCTTATTGGTGAGAATGCACATGTTCTTGTTAGAATGTGACAAAGAGTAGACATCCTCAGACATCAAGTAACAGCACTGGAAACAGCAATCTAAAGTCACTTGAAGTCATACTTAGTGGTCCGTCCTGCTTTACCTGCCCTTATGTGGGTCTTTTTGAGGTGACGTCACTTATCTCTTACCACTTATCTCCCAGATACTTTTGAGGTCTCAGAATCAAGAGATGTATTCTTCAGGTTTTCTGTTGTTGCTAGGGCTTGAGACACAGCACCCCTAAAGTGACAGTAGGAAACCAGAATACACTGCCCCAACATTCACTGCTCTTCGCTATTATGTGCTGGTTATTCTGGGAAACTGCAAGCACCAAGGAACTGTGAAGTGTGCTTTGTTAATAGAAGTTTCCATCTATAAAAAATATTAGAATTATTATCCTGTTATTCTAATAGTAGACTAGTATTAGTAGTGTTCTAACAAACATTTCAGGAAGAAGGGGGCTCTGGACAAGCATTACTACCAAAGAGGGTTTTTATCCATTTTGAGCCTTTAGCTGCTGACACATTAGATTGTGAGTCAGTTCTGTGTCCTTTCCAATTAGATTTCATTAGAATTACATACTTTAGTGCAGTAAGAGATTCCTTTTATATATTGCTCACAGATGCTACATTCTTTTTTATAATATGTGTTATAAAAACAAAGGCAGGCTATACTTGTATATGTGGACTAAACATATGGAAATGTTACCCACAAAATCTGGCTCTTATAGTCTGCAGCTTTGTAATGTAGAATTCTCAGGGGCTCCTGTATGGCAAAGACTTTAGCTTGGGAGGTATAGTATAAGACTCAAATTCTAGGCCGGCACTGTGGCTCACTAGGCCAGTCCTCCGCCTGAGGTGCCGGCACTCTGGGTTCTAGTCCCGGTTGGTGTGCGGTTTTGTCCCAGTTGCTCCTCTTCCAGTCCAGCTCTCTGCTGTGGCCCAGGAAGGCAGTGAAGGATGGCCCAAGTGCTTGGGCCCTGCACCTGCATGGGAGACCAGGAGGAAGCACCTGGCTCCTGGCTTTGGATCAGTGCAGTGCGCCAGCCATAGCGGCCATTTGGGGGGTGAACCAATGGAAGGAAGACCTTTCTCTCTCTCTCTCTCACTAACTCTGCCTGTCCAAAAAAAAAAAAAAAAAAAAAAAAGATTTTGTGCTTAACTTCTTGGAGGAGGTCTACTATGGGCCTGTGTTTCAAAAGTCAAAGTATATCATACAGAATTCAATGGATATGCTTTGAATTAGCCTCCAGCACTTCACTTTAGCCATGGACACACTCATTGTGTTTCCTTTAGAAAGAAGGTAAATATCAAGACTTTACTGCTTGCAAAGTTTTGTCTTACCCTATTAATGTTCATGGTGATTTATGGAGCGATTCTGCAGAAAGTTCTATGAGTGTTTATAGGGAATGAGTTGTGTAGTTTTATATGTACACATACACACACTCAGAACATTCCTTTAGCTCTTTTTCTCACGACTCAAGACTACTACGGTTAAATGATCTGATTATGGACTCAGTCAATAAATGTAACTCATTTTTACTGGATGCTGTTTTGATGTCATAGCCATGATTTTCTATTAATTTTAATTTTCCCATTCTACTGTACTTTTATGTTTGATCAAGAATAAGCCTAATGACTGAAAGGATATACTGGATTTGGAGACTCGACCAAGACAGCACTGTGATCATTTCGGAGTGTGAGGCAGCTACATGTAGCCTGTGAGCAGTACATGATGAGAAAGATGTGGAGGCACCCTGTGATGAGCTCCTTGTATGCATGTCAGTGTCTGCTACTTTAGATCCACTCATGTGTGAGCTCTGCTGAGAGGGAAATACTCTGTAGTCAACTGGAACTCATTCAGCCAAAACCTTGATTTTGCATTCCTACTACCTATTGACTGGACTTCCATGTGCATATTTTGAGCTTAATTATGCCTCTATTATCTCATTTCAGATAGTGAAAACTAGATAAAGAGAGTATAGATTATGATCAATGATCATTGTTACTAAGCAGCCAAAATATGATTTAAACTAAGATCTGGGGCAGGTGTTTGGCCTGGTGGTTAAGATGGTACCTGGGACACCTAAATCCCATGCTAGAGTGTCTAAGTTTGCATCTTACTTCACTCCAAATTCCAGCTTTCTGCTGATGCACAGCTGTCATTGATTTCTCAATGCCCCATTTGGAGACTTGAATTGAGTTCATGGCTCTGAGATACAGCCTGGTCCATCCCTGGCCATTATAGTCATTTGAAGAGTGAACCACCCAATGGGACTCCCTCCCTCTCTCTATCTGAAGCTCTCTGTCCCTCAAGTAGATTAATATAATTTTAAAAATACAAAAATTAAGGTCTGTTTAGCTTTCTAAAAATATGTATTTATTTATTTTTAAGTCAGTTACACAGAGAGAGCGAGACACAGAGATCTTCTATCCACTGGTTCATTCACCACATAGTCACAACGGCTAGAGCTGGGCCAGTCCAAAGCATGGAGCCAGGAGCTTCTTTCAAGTTTCCCATGTGGGTGCTTGGGCTGCCCTCTACTGCACTCTGAGGTACGTTAGCAGGGAGCTGGATCAGAAGTGGGGCAGGTGGCAGCTTAACCTGCTATGCCACAATGCCATCTGTTTAATTTTTAAACTTGAGTTGTTTGGGGACCATAGGTAAGTCTTAAAAGCACCCAAAGTGTTAATTTTAAAAAGCTGTGGATGTAGTTGAAAAGCTGGAAATTAGAAGACTAAGCACATTGATCTATATAAGATCAGCAGCTGCAAAGGATGATAGGCTGAATAAACCATCAGCTTCTCTTGACTCTTGTTAAAATTTTTAGCTGGAGGGGTCTGTGCTGTGGCATAGTGGGTTAATGCCCTGGCCTGAAGTGCCAGCATCCCATATGGGTGCTGGTTCGAGACCTGGCTGTTCTACTTCCAATCCAGCTTTCTGCTATGGCCTGGGAAAGCAGTAGAAGATGGCCCAAGTCTTTGGGCCCCTTCACCTGTGTAGGAGACCTGGAAGAAGCTCCTATCTCCTGGCTTGGGATTGGCACAGCTCTGGCCATTGTTGCTAACTGGGGGAATGAACCATCAGATGGAAGATCTCTCTCTCTCTCTCTGCCTTTCTCTCTGCCTCTTCTCTCTCTGTGTAACTCTGACTTGCAAATAAATAAATCTTTAAAAAAAATTTAGCTGGAAGGACAATTGACACCTTTTTTAAAAATTTGAGACAGGGAGATAAGAGAAACAGAAACAGAGAAGTCTCCCACCTTCCAGCCCAACTTACATATAAATTTCTGCAGTGCACAGGCCAAGGACAGGAAACACAGTTCTTCTCTTCCATGTAAGTGGCAGAGACAGAATTAAATGAGTCCTAACTTGGTGTCTCCTGGGATGCACAGTAGCAGGAAGCTGGAGGTGGGAGCCAAGCCAGGATTTGAACCTAGGTAGCCTAATATGGGACAAGGGCATCTTAAACCTATATCTTAATCACTAGAGCAATCACTAGATCAAATGCTCAAACTAGATCCACAATCTCAGGAGGCCAGAAGTATCATTTATGGTTTATATTCTTATGACAGTGAAGAGAATCAGGATGCAGGGAACTGTAAAATCCAAAAATAACAAGGATGATCTCTGTAGAGAGATGTCAGAGTCATATTGTAAATCCTGTGCCAGAGAGAACCAAATCACTCCTCCCTCTGTAACTCTGGAGGCCTCTTAGTCAAAGTCAGTTTCTCCCAATGGGAGCTTCTAGTCAGGTTTGCTCTTGCCCATACTATCCAACAGCTCAGTGATCCTGCTAAAGTGCTTTGTTGTGGGACATTCTCTTTGATACTTCCCTCTCTGAATTAAAAAATGACAAGCAATGGACGCCTTATGTATTACTCATTTACAAAGAGACCTGAGGTGTATAAGGCAGGGGACCTTGATATCAGGCAGTCAGAAAGGCTCATTTACAAATTAGGGATCGATGTAAATATTGAGGTCTATTGGATTTAAAAAAAAAAGAAAATTTATTTGAATGTCAGTTACAGAGAGAGGGAGAGACAGAGATCTTCTATATGCTGGTTGACTCCCCAGATGGGTGCAATGGCCAGTGGTGAGTCAGGCTGAAGTCAGGAGCAAGGAGCTTCTATTGGGTCTTCCACATGGGTGGCAGGGCCTCAAGCACCTGGGCATCTTCTGCTGCTTTTCCTAGGCCATTAGTAGAGAGCTGGATCAGAAGTGGAGCAGCTGGGACACAAAATGGCACCCATAAGTGATGTCAGCATAGCAGGCAGCAGTGCTATCTGCTACCCCACAACACCAGACCCAAAGATACTGCTTTTGGATGGAGATTCTTCTGGGCATTTTATTCCCTGTCTGCCCCACCCTTTATTCTCTTACACATATGTTCCAGGTAGATTATGTTTAGAAGATAATCCTACTATAATTTATTTCTAGTAAGGATTGTTTATCAAGATTAATAAATTTTAATGGTTTTAAGAACTTTGGATTACGTGCAACTGAAAGACCATGTTATAAAGAATTGGGTACTATTTTAAACACTTGGCATGTGCTAAGAATTAATAAAGTAACCTAACATGCAATGATGAAATTAAGAATCCAGCGAAGATGAAAGTCTGGGTAAACCTAAAAATGCATGTAGAGGACGGGCATTTGGAATAGCAGTTAAGATGCCAGTTACGATATCTGCTTTCCACATTGGAGGGTCTGAGTTCAGATTCAGACTCTGACTCCTGATTCCAGTTTATAGCCAGTATGGGCCTTGAAAGGCAGCTCAAGAATTTGGGACCTTGCTGTCCATGTGCGAGATCTGGATTGAGTTCCCAGCACAGAGCTCTGGCCAAATACAGCCCTGACTGTTCCAGCATTTAGTAAGTGAATGAAGAGATGCGAGCTCTTTCTTTTTCTTTCATTCTTCCCCAGCCCCATCCCTTTGCCTATCAAACATGCCTGTAGAAATTCATGGTGTAATCAGTCCTTGGATTGATAGAAATTCTCCTGAAGAGATGCTTACATATTGATTTAAAAATGTATAACTGTACTTATATAAATGATCATACTTAAAATTTCCCCTGTATTATCACTGTAGTTTTACATCATTCAAAACCTTTTTAGCATAGTGATTTTTTTTCAGTGTGAAGCAAAAGTATTCCCAAACTATTCCTTAGGTTTCCATTCACCTCTTTTCAAATGAATCCCAGTCTTCACTTCATTTCTCTTAAAAGTAGCATTTCCAACTAAGGTACAGAAAAGGGAAATTTTTCTTAGAATTGCGTATTTTATTTGAGAGGCAGAGGGACAGAAACAGAGCGATCTTTCATCACTTGTTCACTCCTCAAATGACCGCAATACCCAGGACTGGACAAAGTAGAAGTTCATCTGGATCTCCCATGTGGGTAGCAGGTCCCAAACACCTGGGGCATCAACTGATGCTCACCCAGGTGAGTGAGCAGGAAGCTGGATCAGAAGCAAAGCAGGGATGGTGCTGTGGCATAGTGGATGAAGCTGCTGATTGTGGTGCCGCCATCCTGTATGGGAACTGGTTCAAATCCTAGCTGCTCCTTCCAATCCAGCTTTCTTCTATGGCCTAAGAAGGCAATAGAGGATGGCCCAAGTCCTTGGGCCCCTGTGCCTGTGTGGGAGACCTGGAGGAGGCTCCTGGCTCCTGGCTTCAGATCAGCACAGCTCCAGCCGTTGCGGCCATTTGGGGAGTGGAACCAGTGGATGGAAGACCTCTCTCTCTCTGCCTCTACCTGTGTCTCTGCCTCTCAAGTAAATAAATAAATATTAAAAAACTAATCAGGACTTAAACTGGCAGCCAGATATGTAACTGAATGGTTAAAAAGTTAAAAGCTGTTCCCGCTCCCCCTGCCCTCCTCTGGTGAACTTTCCCGACCTCATTAGACTTGCTCTGTATAGCCATTCTCTTTAAAGTTAGTTAGTCAGTGAATTACCCCAATGTAGACGTAACCTTAGTTTCACCTAAGTAAGATAGAAGGAGTCACTGTTTAGAAATTAACAAACCTTCACAAGAAATCTATTCGCTCCTGGAACCCTGACCCCACCATATGTCCCTTATCGCCATTCGGCTGCATTCCTAGGTATCATTGAGGCAGTTCCTGTAACCTTGTTGAGTGGCCCTCCCTTTTGGTAATAGGAGGCTTTTTGATCCTCCCTGTATAGGCCATATGGTTCTCTGATGTCTAATCAAGCCCTTACTCGATATCCTGTACTCCCTGTATTCATAAATCAACTGATTGTAAAATCACTTAACTTGTATCAATTGTTTACTCTGTACCGACTGTTTGATCTATGCAATGATTGATTTTCTTTGTTTAAACGTGTATAAAAACCCCGACTCTCTACTTCTCGGGGCCACCTGTTCTCTTACACTCAGGGGCCCCAACATGTTGGATCATCAATAAACCTTACCCTTTGCTAATTTCATGAGAGAAAGCCTCTTGGAGTCATTCTTGGGGTGATGGACGCTTTTTCAACTCTAACATAACCTGCTGTACCACAGTGCCAGCCCAAAAGTAAAGTCTTGAAAGGAGTCACTCATAGTTGATCTACATTAGTATAGGCACTGTGGCCTAACAGGTGGGGCCACCACCTGTGGTGCCGGCATCTCATATGGGCACTGGTTCAAGACCTGGCTACTCCACTTCTGATCCAGCTATGGCCTGAGAAAGTGGTAGAAGATGGCCCAAATTCTTGGGCCCCTGCACCCACATGGGAGACCCAGAGGAAACTCCTGGCTCCTGGCTTCGGATCAGCTCAGCTCCAGCTGTTGTGGCCAATTGGGGAGTAAACCAGTGGGTGGAGGACCTTTCTCTCTCTCTCTCTGCCTCTCCTTCTCTCTGTGTAACTCTGACTTTCAAGTAAAATAAATCTTTAAAAAAAAGTTCTGTTCACAGGCATTTGTGTGTGTATATGTATATACACATATATATTTTATATATACATTTATATATTTATATATACATATAAATGTATACCAAAATGGATTATATATTAAAAATAAAACATTTGGAAAGGGACTATTTTAAATCAAAGTTGTAGTATAATAAATTTGTGTCCTTATTACATAAATATTTGTATGTGGTTTATAATTCTTGATATGTTAAAAAGACTTCAAGGATTTAGAAAGAATAATGTTTAATAATGTGTGATTGATATAATTACTGAACATTGATGGTAGTAAAGTTAGATATAAATTTCAGATTTTTTTCCAGTGTCATTATTCTGTCTTATTACATTTTATTCATATTTCCAGATGCAAAAGCAACATATTTGGTATAATCTTTTTACAGCATTAGTTCTCTCTTTTATAAAACTTTTTGGTTAAGTTGATCAATTTAGGCATTTTGAGAAAAAAGAATCTTAGAAGGCCTAGGATCTGAAAAGTGAAAATCAGCAATTCAGATCAATAGAGGTTACCTGTAAATATCCTCACATAATATCTCAATAAGTTAGAAATTAGCATCAGGAAAACTCTTCTAAAGACGTTCCTTGGCTAGGTAGTCTAAAAGTCTAAAACTCTTAAACTGAATCATAACTTACATTATTTAGGAGAAAATGATTTTTAAAAGTCACTGGTCTTGGCTGGCGCCATGGCTCAATAGGCTAATCCTCCACCTTGTGGCGTCGGCACACTGGGTTCTAGTCCCGGTCAGGGTGCCGGATTCTGTCCCGGTTGTCCCTCTTCCAGGCCAGCTCTCTGCTATGGCCCAGGAGTGCAGTGGAGGATGACCCAAGTCCTTGGGCCCTGCACCCCATGAGAGACCAGGATAAGCACCTGGCTCCTGCCTTCGGATCAGCACGGTGCGCCGGCCGCAGCGTGCTGGCCAGCGGTGGCCATTAAAGGATGAACCAACGGCAAAGGAAGACCTTTCTCTCTGTCTCTCTCTCTCACTGTCCACTCTGCCTGTCAAAAAAAAAAAAAAAGTCACTGGTCTTAAAGCTGTCAATGTCAGAGTCCATGTTGGACTGAATGAAGGGCATCTCTCACTGGTGCTCTTTATAAGGCATAGTTGGTGACACCAGTTTGTTTTTAGCTTCCATCATGGCAGTTTGTTAACAGAAAGCCATCTGGTGAGTCAGCAACCACAACTGTCACCTTTCCTGTGGGTGCTGTGTGAGCGTCTGGGTGACGTCCTCAATCATACCCAAGTGGGCTGACTGGGCCCTAGGTCCAGGGGTCTTAGTTCTGTTCCTCTGTAGCCCAGAGTTTGATGTGTAGGGCAGTGCTGCCTGGCTGGTTGCACCTCTGGGCCACGTCTGGCCAGCCAACATGGCAGTATATGGCGAGGATTTGTCTAGGGCAGCCTTCACCTTTGTCCCACCTGTCACTGGGCAGATGGTTTCCTTGACAAACAGTGACATGGACAAAGGTGTCATTGAAGGAGGTGAAGAAGTGACAGATACCAAAGATACTCTCTCTTTCAGAAACCTGGTATCCAGGCTAATGACCTGTTCTTATCCTTCTCTTTGTGAGGTGTTACTTCTGTGTGTCTTCTTCAGACCCCACTGAAATGAGAGCGCAAGGCCAAGACACCAGTTTTTACAAAGAGGAGTTCACTTGGGTGGCCAGCATAGGAGGTAAGGGCTCTTGCTCTAAACCACCTGTTTCCTTGTTGGTCAGGGAGGGCTTTGCCATAGGCACAGAACAGCAGCTGGGGGAAATTCAGGAGGAGTCTTGGGCTTTCAGGAATGGCCTTGTATGTTTCTTCTGTGCACTGGAAGATTCTCAGGTGATCTGGTCTTGTGATCAGTGATAGCATATCTTTGCATTGTTACACTTGGACACATCTGTCCTAGGAGATATTTTTCATGTACTCTATAGAATACTATACAGCAGTCAAAAACAATGAAACCCAGTCATTTGCAACAAGATGGAGGAATTTGGAAAACATCATGCTGAGTGAATTAAGCCAGTCCCAAAGGGACAAATATCATATGTTCTCCCTGATTGGCGACAACTAACTGAGCACCAAAGGGGAAACTTGTTGAAGTGAAATGGACACTATGAGAAACAGTGACTTGATCAGCTCTTGTCCTGATGGTTGATGTACAATGTAATAGTTTATCCATTTTAGTATTTTTTTTGTTCTAGTACCATTGATTGAACTCTGTAATTAACACACAATTATTCTTAGGTGTTTAAATTTTAACTGAAAAGTGATCCCTGTTAGGAATTTGGAAAACATTATGCTTAGTGTAATAAGCCAATCCCAAAGGGACAAATACTACTTGTTCTCCTTGATAGGTGACAACTAACTGAGCACCAAAAAGGAAACCTGTGAAAGTGAAATGAACATTATGAGAAACGGTGACTTGATCAGCCCTCACCCTGACTGTTGATGAGCAGCTTAATATGTTATCCCTCTTAGTATTTTTTTGTTTGTTCTACTTAATACTTTTGGTTGAATACTGTAATCAATACACAATTCTTCTTAAGTGCTGAAACTTAACTGAAAAGTGATCGCTGTTAAATATAAGAGTGGGAATAAGAGAGGGAAGAGATGTGCAATTTGGGACATGCTCAAGCTGACTTACCTCAAACGGTAGAGTTAGAAACATACCAGGGGATTCCAATTCAATCCCATCAAGGTGGCATGTACCAATGCCATCTCACTAGTCCCAGTGATCAATTTCTGTTCACAATTGATCGTAATGAAAGGACTAAGAACCAAAGGGATCACATAAACAAGAATAGTGTCTGCAAATACTAGCTGATAGAATAAAAAAGGGAGAGAATGATCCAACATGGGAAGTGAGATACACAGCAGACCCATAGAATGGCAAATTTCCTAACAGCACTCTGGCCTCATAATCAGCCCTTAAGGCATGCGGATCCGGCTGAAATGCCCATGAGAGTATTTCAGGCATGGAAAGCCAAGACACTCTGGGGGAAAAAAAAATAAATAAATAAACCTAAATGAAAGATCTCCGCGAGTGAGATCCCAGTGGAAAGAACAGGTCTTCAAAGAAGGAGGTAGCTTTCTCTGAAGGGAGGAGAGAACTTCCACTTTGACCATGGCCTTGTCTAAATATGATCAGAGTCAGTGAATTCAGGGGGCTTCCATAGCCTTGGCAGCTCATGACAAGAGCCTAGGGTGATTACTGATGCCATAAACAAGAGTGTCAATTTGTTAAGTCAATAACAGGAGTCACTGTGCACTTATTCCTCATGTAGGATCTTTGTCCTTAGTGTGCTGTACATTGAGATTTAATACTATAACTAGTACTCAAACAGTATTTTTCACTTTATGTTTCTGTGTGGGAGCAAACTGTTGAAATCTTTACTTAATGTATGCTAAACTGATCTTCTGTATATAAAGAGAATCAAAAATGAATCTTGATGTGAATGGAAGGGGAGAGGGAGTGGGAAAGGGGAGGGTTGCAGGTTGGAGGGACGTTATGGGGGGGAAGCCATTGTAATCCATAAGCTGTACTTTGGAAATTTATATTCATTAAATAAAAGTTAAAAAAAAAAAGAAAGAAGCAGCAATTGTCCTCTCAAAAAACAATTTGCATGTGGTTGGTGATATATAACAAAGTTGAAGAAATTGGTTTCTTTTTGCTGGCAGGGCAAGGGTAGGAACCCTTATGAGGAAACCATTTTTTTTTTCCTTTTAAAGATTTTATTTATTTGAAAGGTGAAGTTATGGGGTATAGTTGGTGGGGTGGGAGACAGAGATATTTCTTTGGCTGGCTCACTTCCCAAATGGCCACAGTGGTTGGGCTGGGTCAGTCCAAAGCCAGGAGCCAGGAGCTTCTTCCACATTTCCCATGTGGGTGCAGGGGCCCAAGTATTTGGGGCATTATGCAGGGAGCTTGATCAGATGTAGAGCAGCCAGGATTTGAACCGGCACCCATATGGGATGCCAGTGCTGCAGTTGGCAGCTTTACCCACTATGCCACAATGCTGGCTTCACCTTTCGTATTTTGGATGAGCCTCTTACAATATTACTTTGTTAATTATTTTTTAATTTATTGATTTTTATGGATCTTTTTAGTGTTTTCCTTGTGCCAGAATCTTTTGAGGCTTGTCCAACTGAACCAGAGATTGACATTCTCTCTCCAACCTGTGAGAGGCCTTTATATAAACAGGTAAATAAAGAGGAAAATGTTCCTGGCAATAAGCACTGCGGGTTCTTGAATAAGGGTAAAGGGACAAGTAGCACTGACTAAAGACATGCCTTTAAGCAGCCACTTCTGCAAATTTAACTGATACATTGACATTTATGTAGATTGGGAGAAGAGTAAGCCAGGGAGAACTTTTTTTTTTTTTTTTTTTTTAGATTTACTTATTTTGAAAGAATTTAAGGATCCTAGAGGGTGTTGGGGCAGAGGTTTCTAAAAGGCTGATTGTTAGGTAAGGAATCTTGAAGGTGGGCTGATGCTGTCATGGAGCTGATTTCTCTTTTCTAGAAGTTCTCATG